CCGAGCGCTGGGCTGGAGGCGCGGGGCGCGCGCACGGGCGCGTACACGGCGCGTGCCGACCCGGCGTGCGCGCGCGCGGCAGCCGGCACAGGGCCCCCCACCCCCAGTCACACGCCTCCGAGGAGGCTGCCCTGGGAGCGTCCTCCAGAGGAGGGGAGGACGTGGCACCCACCTGACCCGCCGAGACCTGGAACTCAAGGGCACCTGGCTCACACTCCCGCGGGCATCTTGCTCAGGGAATAGACACGCCACACAGCTCCTGACAACAAGCTGTCTGGCCCGGGACACGCCGGCAAACCCGGTGCACACATCGGTCGGGCACACTGGATGCTCAGCCAAGCAGCTGAGTTCGAGAACCCCGACGCGTACTCAGCTCAACCTGGAGACCACGCACACGTCCCGGCTCTGGTCACATCCTGACATGGACTGCACACAGGTAGTAAATGGGCGGGGGCTCGAGCAGGCGGGCACCCTGATGTGGCTCTCTCCCACGGCCCCTCCTACTGTGTCCCCAGCAGGCGTACATCACCACATGCTTACTAGGAAGTAGCACAGGGAGGACTGAATGCTGAATCCACAGCCCTGACCCCCATGGACATGCTTCCCCCATCACCCAACAGAGTTGAACCCTAAAGGGGGCCCCCACTGTCTACCCTGAGGTCCAGGCTTACAGAGGCCACTCCGAACCTGGCTGTCCATCACCCTCTTAACTAGATTGTTTCTAGTCCAACTTCCCTACCACACTTAGGGTGATTTTCCAAAATCACTCTCCGCCAGCATATCAGCTGGGACATTTGGGGTTGCAAGTAACAGAACTCCAAAACAAATAGGTTTGAGCCCAAAGGGGACTGACTCAGGTAACTGGCAAGTCCAGGAGTAGATTCTAGCTTTGGTCACAGTTGGTTCCAGGTATTCCAGCAACAGCATCAAGTACGCGTCTGCTTCTCTCCTCTGCTTTCTTCTGTTTGCATCATTCTCAGGCAAGTTCTCCCCAAGTGGTGGTGAGGATGACCCCCACATTCTAGGCTTATATCCTGCCATCCATCTTCAGAGGAAAAGAACCCCAATTCTTTTTTAATAGTTTTACCAAAAAAACAAACCAAAAACCCCACGAATGACTCTTTTTGGACTCATTTTGGCTGTGTCCATTGGTGAACCAATCCAGATGGCCATGCCCTGGGGGAGGGGATGTGTGTTCCATAAGGCCAAAGGAAATGGCCCTGATTTCATTGGGGCAATGAGACACCCTGACACAACGAGTCAAAACCCTTCAGGGATCCCCTCTGCTTTCCAGACGAGGCCCCACGTCCTTAACAAGGCTCACAGAGTTGGTTGTGACTCACTGACCTCAGCTGCAGCCACTCCCTTCTTCCACCCTGCCCCCATGCTCGGCCATCCTAAACCACTAGAGGCCCTACCTAGACCATTCATCTGTCTCCTCCACCTGGGCAAATCTGGTCCTGTGTCCTGGAGGGCACCATCTCTGACATCTTCGTGGCCAAGGGGCCTCCCCTACATGGTGCTTCCCCCACCCCAAGCCCCACCAGCTCTAGAATCCTCTCTGCCACGGTGCTGATCAAACTGGTTCCACTGTTCCCATGTCTGCCTCCCTACCAGACTGAGCTCCAAGCTGGCAGGGGCCTCATCTCCATCTGGGTCCACAGCAACCACCATAGAGCTGGGTGGGAGGAGGTGAGCTTAGGGAAGGCTTGTTGGGAAATGAATTCTAGGAGTATCCTCTGTCAAGGATCCACAGTGGTAAGAGCTTTAAGGTGAGCTTATTTATACCTAGCCAAGAAGTTCTCCAGATGCCTCCCTAGCCCAAGGGGGAGCTTGGCTGGAGGATGTGGATCCACTTGCAGGCAGTGCTGCAGGGTCCTCCTGCCTGTCCACCTGGCACCCACTCATTCTAGCACACCCTCTTGGGGCTGGGTTTCAGCCTCTGTACTCTAATACCTACCTAAACACCTCAACTACCACCTCCCAAACAGAGCCTGGAGCTGAGGGCAAATGTACCTCTGCCCCAACCTCACACCTCATGGGCAGGCTCTGGCTCTTCCGTCTTCACCTGGTTTCCGCCACACCCTGCAACAGCCACTCACCAGCTGGAAGTGCTTGAGCAAGTCCCCCCACTTCCCACCCTGCCTATCATTTCCCTCGAGTTGGTAGAAAAGGCAGCAAGCACTCCAAAAGCTAGGCTGACAAAAAGAGGCCCCTTCCGCCAAGTTGGTGCTAGGCACCTTCTAGCTGCCCTGGAAGTAGCTGGTTAGCTTGGTACCCAGCACCCACTCCCCCAGCAGTTGAAAGTCCTGTCAGTGGCCTAGGGAGTCAAGAGGTCTGTCTCTTTCAGCGGATTTTCATAGCTGCCCTGCAAGGCAATGGCTGTCACACTCATCTTTCCAGACAAGTTAAGGGCCTATGAAAAGCCAGCTTGAAAAGTGACCAGGCTGGGACTTCAACCTGGAACTGTCAACTGCAAAACTGATGTGGCTTCTCTGCCTCATGTACTTCTGCCCAGCCCAGAGGCAAGGAACAAACCCTTATGGTGGTTACAGGGTATTCCTGGGGGCCTGCGGATACTGGGAGGCTATAGAGCAGCGATGGATTTGGGAAGTTTGGGACAGACCTGTGGCAAAAAGCTCCCACCCCCAAGTGTTTGAATAGGTGGTTCCTCTGCAATGCTCTCCCCAATCCCTGTCCTTCAGGTGAATGTCTGCTTAAAGCCTGGCTCAGCCAAGATCTGCAGAGAACCCTCCCTGATGCCCAGGTGGCAGTATCACTACTGTTTAGGTCTTTGCCCATCCACATTTAATGCTTCACAGTCAAAACAGAGGGAGGGGTCTAATGCACTGCACCAGCCCAGGGCCAGACATGTGGCAGGCATCCAGGTAAGACAGACCCTTGGCAGGTGTTCCTAATGGCAGCTCCCACCTCACCCCCCAGGCTGCTCTAAGTCTACATTTGGCAGCCAGGCCACCTGGGTCTTGGAAGGGAAGTTACCAGCCAGGCCTTCCTCTCCAGCAATCAGACACAGACCCACACCCCAGTGGGTCCCCAAGGCTTTTTTCCTCAGGCCCCATTCCATTTAGGAAACTGAGGAACCCACTAGGTGAGCCCAAAAGTAGTCCACTAAAGCCTGGCTGCCTGGAGAGGTTACCATCAGGTCAGCCCTGAGATCTCCTGGGCCTTGGAAGGGCAGCCCCTGACATTCTCACCAGGTCCACCTCCAATCCCTTCCCACATCCAGCTGGGCCAGGGAAGCAGGAAGACCCCTGGAGCACCAGAATCAAGAAAGAGGCAGGCGGGGGCAGCTGGCCAGGTTTGTGCTCGGACTGTATTCACAGAGACACGTGGCAGCTTACACTGGACAAAATGAGTAATAAAAATTGGCTTTAAATATGGAAAAATCAGGACCCTAATCCCACGGTCCCTAACACTGGGACCAGGATGGTCATCACAGTCTAGGAAGGGCCAGGGCTGGGGCCTGGGGCACAGGCACAGCCTCACCCTACCCCCTTTGCACACACACAGATACACACACGCGCACAGACACACACGCCCCACAGACACACACAGGTTGGGGCGAATTATTGCTGGGCACGTGTGTCTATTGTTATGAGGGGAGTCTGGAATGTTTGAGGGTTACCGGGAGTACCCCCACCCCCTCCTATGGCCTGGGCCAGGATTTTCTGAAAGACGTGTCTTCAGGACAAAGCCCAGCATAAGAGACAAGGTGCCCCTGGGGCTGGAAAGCAGAGGCAGACTCATCTGGAATAGCCTGGGCTGTGGACTGATGGGTCCCACAATCAGCCCAATCTCTGGTCACACTTTGGCACAGGCCTAGGGGACACAGAGGCTCCAGATCCCACTCTGACAAGCACTGAGAAGAGACAGGATTGGGCCCCAGAAGGTGGTAGCCTGATCCCCGGACAGCAGGGGCAGGCACAAGTCTCACTCGGAGGTCAGCAGCAGCCAGCACAGTGCTGGGGGCTCAGGAGTCTGGCCCGGCCCAGCCTTTGCCTTTCTGAGCTGGACCTGAGGCGCCTCGAGTTTGGCAGTGGTTCCTCTGCCAGCTCCCGGCTCTCCCAGCCAGGGCTGGCTGCCTGGGAGCTGAGGCCAGGGTGCCAGGTCTAGGGTGGGAATTAAGAATGCTCTGGTTGCTATATACATTCGTACAAATACATAAATACAGAAAGCCCCGAGCTCCACAGAGAAGAGCTGAAGGGACGCACCTTTGTCCCAAGGATGGCCCAGGCCTTGCCAAACTCAGCCAGGCCACGGGCTGAGGGGCAGAGGACACTGGGGACAGCTCCGGCTGTGTTCCCCAGGCCACAACTTGAGTGGACAATGGGGAAGACCACTGTGCAAAACTGTAAACAGCACTTGGAGTAGCTGCTACCGCCAACCGCAGGAGGGGGCCTCAAGCTCGGGGCTAGAGGCGGGTGGGGAGCTCGAGGTGGGTAGGGAGCTCAAGCCGGGTGGGGAGCTCTTCCTCACTGTCGCTGCAGTTCCCACAGCAATCCTGGAGGGACAGGGAAGACATGGAGAGAGAGAGGCAGAGCAGGGGCCATTAGCCACTGGTGATGTCTGTCATCAGGGGCTGGCCCTGCCAGGGCAGATCCAGAGCTGCCCAGGGTCACACTCTGGGGAAGGGGTTCCCCACAAGGGGCCTGGAGCAGCAGCTCAGGCCACACATGGGTGGGCATCAGTGCATAGGTTGCTGGCGACAGACTGCAGTAATGGGGAGTAGGTAGATCCCAGGGTCTGCCAGGGCAGGGGGAGACAACGGCTAAGCAAGGCTAGCAGTTTGAAGGGGACAGGGTGCAGGGAACTGAAGCGGGGGAGGGGGGGAGCGGGCACCAGACTTCTTTCTCCCACATCTCGCCTCTGCCATGGAAGGGCTGCCCGTGGCTCCCCGAGGCCAGGCAGCAAGGCCAACCCACGGATAGCCCACACTGCTCACCTCTGGAAAGAGAAAAGAGGCCATGAGCCCAGCCAGGGATGGGGGGCACACGGGAAAGAGGCCAGAGACCCTGGGCACCGCTGGCAGGGCTGGAGGATGCCCACTCCTAGCACATGCGGGCACCAGCTCTGCCTCCTACCCATCATTCCCTGGAGCCAGGCTGGGGGCCCAGGTAGGAGGCTGCTGGGGTTTACCTGGCGACTGAAGAGTCTCTGCAGAAGTCCCTTCTTGGGGGGCGCAGGTGGCTGGCCCTTCCAGTCCAGGTCTGGGGGAACCGAGCCATCCAGCCCGAACACATTCAGCTCCTGGAAACACTCAGTCTCCACCATCTGCCAAAGAACAGGAGCCTGTGAGACCTGCCCCTAGGGCCACCCCCTGGAGCCCACCCCACCAGCAGGGCAGGCCCCTACCTCATTCTGCCAGGGAATGGGTACGCTGCCTGTGGCAAACTTCTGGTAGAAGTCCTGGTCCGCGGGCTCCAGCTCTACACCCTTAACTGTGGAGAACTGCTCAATGTCCAGGACGTCCTTACAATAAATGGCCTGGGGCTGGGGGACAGAGGCAACAGTCAGATAGGAGACACACACATACACACATTCACGAAGGCAGTGCTTTGGCTTGGTTCTGCCCTGACACCTGCAGCTCTCTGGTTTGGAGTCAGAAACTAGGAGGCCCATGCACTCCCTAGGCACAGATAGCAGTCCCCTCTCTCTGAAGCCCAGTTTACCTCTCTGTAAGCTGGGATGATAATCCCTCACTGCTCAATGACCAAAAGAGGCAGATGCTGGGCCTCCCCATCCACATGCACACGGGTGCGTGCTGGTGAGGGTAGCACAGGCTGTATCCCGTCTGGCCCCCTCAGCTGGGCACCACCACGCAGGGCCTGGAGCTGGTGGGTCCTAGCCCTGGAATGTCTAGGAGCTTGCTTTATCGCCTCACAGCCAGTTGGAGAACTGGGCCTCCCACCCCTCCCATCTCCCCAACCCCTGCTGGGAGCCTACCTCAGCTCCAGAAGGCCACTTGCTTTTTCATCCTTACATAGTTTTCTAAATCCTACTATTAAGGATGTCAAATAAAATACTGTCATCATGTAAAATGGAGCAGCTGCTTTGGAAAACAGACTGGCAGTTCCCCAAAAGGTTACACATAGTTACCCTATGACCTAGTAATTCTACTCCTAGGAATATACCAAGAGAAATGACAACATCTGTCCACCCAAAAACTCATGCATGAATGTCCACAGCAGCATTATTCATAACAACCAAAATGTGGATACAACCCTAAAGTCTATCAACTAACTAATGAATGAGTAAACAAAATGTGGATATCCATACAATGGATAAAGGAATGGAATGCTGACGCCTGCTACAACGTGGATGAACCTTAAAAACATTATGCTAAGTGAGAGAAGCCAGTCACAGAGGACCACAGATGGTGCAACTCCATGTGTATGAAACGTCCAGAATAGGCAAATTTATAGACACAGAAAGTAGATTAGTGACTGCCAGGGGCCAGGTGAATGACCACTAATGGATATGGGCTTTTTGGGGGGTGGTGATGAAAGTATTCTAAAATTTATTGTGGTGATGGGTGCACAACACTAAGTATACTAAAAGCCAATCAACTGTATACTTTAAATGGGCTAATTGTGTGATATGCGAATTAAATTTCAATAAAGCTGTTAAAAAATATATCATCAAATTTGATTTTCACCTGCTTCTTCTAAAAAGTTAAACTCCAGGGCATTGATTTCATCTTCCTGGTGTTTTGGGGGGGGTTTTTTGTGGATGGCCAGTACAGGGATCCAAACTCTCAACCTTAGTGTTATAGCACTGTGCTCTAACCAACTGAGCTAACCAGACAGCCCCCTCGTCTCTAACGCTGAACAAAAGACCCAGACGCAGTGTGATGATGCCAGGGTTAAACGAGATGATGTGCACAGGAAGCAGGAGTAAACTTGAGAAGAAGTACCAGCCTTGGGGGTGGGCTGCTTAGAAGTCAGGCTCATTCGGTTCAAGTGCTAGCCCATGACAATGCCCACCCTTCAGGGTTCTGGTGAGCCCTATGTGAGACAATCACTCAGTGGAGGCAGCCCCCTAGCTGGCCTCCCCACTTCCACTCATCCTGTATGGCCCACTCCCCGCACCTCACATTCCTGCTCAAAATCCACCAAAGGAGCCCTACCTCACTGAGAATGTGACCACACTCCTCTTTCCTACACATGCTCACTCCAGCCACACTGGCCTCCTTGCTGTTCCATCTCACGAGGGTGATCCCTGCCCCAGGACCTCAATGCCTGGCTGTTCCTTCTGCCTGGAATATTCCCACCCCAAATCTTGGCATGGCTCTTTCCTTCACCTATTTTCAGTTTCTGCTTAACCATCAGCTCCTCAGAGACTCCCCTCCACCATCATTCCCTGTCTTCTACTCAGCCTGTGTTAGTTTTGTCACTCTTAATACTACCTGAAATTCTTTCTCACTTGTTGGTTTATTTTGGTGGGTCTCCCCACTAGAACATAAGGGCAGGACTGGGTCCCGAGGACCTCATTATCTCCAGGGTCTAGCACATATGGGCACTTAGATATTGTGGAATGAATAAACAAACACGTGTGTGGTTAAAAACTATCAGCCTGGCCTGCCCCTCACCTTCCAGTCTTCCCAGAGTTTCTGGTGAACTGTCAATCACAGGACCTAGTCCTCACAGACATGGGAGGGGGCAAGCAAATGACCTAAACTTGGCAAATCAGAACCTTCCCTGTGATGTTAAGCAAAGAGATGCCAGAATTCAGTGGGAGGGATACAGTCAACAGGCTGAAGCAGAGCCAAGTGATGTAGATTCCTGTCAACATGTCATGAGACCCTGATGTTGGCCCTACTCTAGGATCTTCTGGCCAATAAACTCCATGTTGGGCTTAAGTAAGTTTGCGTTGGGTTTCTGCCACTTGGAATCTGATGACTAGAGGATGATCTTGCCTGCTGGGTGCCTGACCCACTGAGATGCTCAGTAAATGGGCGAGGCTCTACAAAGGGGAGTGTCCTGCCCACAGAAGGGCAGACAGCATTGCCAGGTGTGCGGGACAGCAGCTGTTCTGCAGTCCAACAGCCCTTCCCCCTGCTGGAAACAGGAACTTGTTTTGCTTTGAGGAACTGATCTCTCCCATTAGCAGTGGTTCAGGTGGGCATATGATCCAGATATGGCCAATGAGGGTCCTCTGAGCAATCAGAGGCAATAAGCATCAGTCTTAGGACTCCCCCCTACACCTTTAGGATTTCTTTTGAAATTACTGGACAAGAGGCACTCTCTGTCTACTGGGGTGGCTGAGCTGGTAGGATGTGGGTCTGAGCCACTAGAGGCCCCCACTGCCACCTGCTGGGGAGAGCTGCCTGAGAGTGAAGATTATACATTAAACAGTACAGTGGGGAAGGAGAGGGAGAGAGAGAGAGAATTCCTATAACATTCTTGGACCCCCAATCCAGGTATGCCAAAAACCAGACCTATACTCGAGCTTTGCATTTTTGTGAGCCCAGTGAAATTATTATTTTTTTTGGCTAATCCAATAGATTGGTTTTCCTGACACTTGCACCAAAGATGACCCTGACCAATACTCCAATAGCCCCCAGCCCCAGCCCTGGCCTGGCCCTGCCTTCAGCAGGAGTGGATGGCACTCACGTCGGGCTTGAAGGGTGGCTCCAGCATGCCAGCTCCCAGCCGCTTGAAGTTCAGCTTCTTGAATAGGGGGTGCTCCTTCACCTCGCGGGCACTGCCCCCACGACACCCTAGGCGTTCAGCAGGGTCCTTACAGAGGAGCTGTGGCAGGGCAGAGGCAGTCAGGGTGTCCCTGGGTGGGGGTAGGGGGTTGGGAGAAGTGCCCCCACCCCTGGCCAGTCAGGCCTCCCACTTTTACCTGGGAGCAGAGGGAGCGGGCCTGTGGGGAAAAGCGCTCAGAATATTCCTCGGGCACCTCCTTCACCAGCCGCTCCACCTCCTCCCGCTTGATCTTCTTTTTCCTCTGCTGGAAGGGTGACTGGCCTGCGATCATCTCATACAGGAGACAGCCTAGCGCCCACCAGTCAGGGCTGAACGTGTACCGCTCATTCTTCACCACCTCTGGAGCTGGGTGGGAGACATGGGAGTAAGGGCTGGGCAGGAGGCAGAAAACAGAGCCTGCGGGTCCTGGGGATGCCCAGTACACATTATGTCGGGGGATCATCTCAAACGCCCACTCTCCAGGCAGGAACCATCAGCAGCTTGGTAGAGACCTCAGCGAGTAGGAGAGCACGAGCCCCACCAAAGAAAGCTGCAGGGCCACATCCAGGGGCCCCAGATCTTCAGAGTTTTCAGGGAAGTCAGAAATCCTTATTTTCTATGTGAAGCTGTCTGGCTTATTAAATTGTCCTAAAATCTATTTGATTTAAACACGAATGTAGGCCAAATTGGGCCCAGGTGGCTACCAGTTTGCAATTTCTGGCTTTAATTTGAGCAAGAAGAAAGGAGGAAATTCCTATTTGCTGAAACCCTCCTACCTATGAGGGCAGCTATGTGGGGTGTGTTCCCTCTACTATCCCTTTTCATCTTCAAGGCAACCCTGGGAAGCAGTATGATGACTATTTTATAGTCCAGCAAAGTGAGGCTGGGAGAAGCCCAAGGCCCACAACAAGCAAGAGGTGGATCCTGTAGAGCCAGGACTTTATCTCCTGTGTCAAGTGGTCCCCAAGGGGATTATGTGGCCATATTTTGGCCCCTCCACACATGGGCATGCCCATTCCAAGCCTGGGTGGTTCAGGGAAGGGCAGGGCTGGCACCACAGAAAGGGATGTGAGACCCTTCTCCTCTGTTCACCAGTAGCCACCTGCGGGCCCAGCCAATAGTAAGTGCTCATTAAGTACAGTCGTTGCATCCATGGAGAATTGGCCCTAGGACCCAAGCAGATACCAAAATCCATGGATGCTCACGGATATAGAGAATGGCATAGTATTTGCATATAACCTACACACATCCTCCTGTATACTTTGAATCACCTCTAAGATATCTTAAAATACCTAATACAATGTAAATGTTATGTAAATACTTGTTATACTGTGCTGCTTTTATTTTTTTTTCCAAAAAGATGACTGGTAAGGGGATCTTAACCGGTGACTTGGTGTTTTCAGCACTACGCTTTCCCAAGCGAGCCACAGGCCATCCCTATACAGGGATCCGAACCCAGGGCCTTGGTGTTATCAGCACCAGACTCTCCCAAGTGAGCCACGGGCCAGCCCCTGTACTGCTTTTTAAACTTGTATTATTTTTAATTGTTGTATTGTTATTTTTTATTCAAATATTTTTGATCTATGGTTGGTGGAACACACGAATGTGGAACCCACGGATGCAGAGGGCCACTGTGTTTAGTGAATGAATGATGTGGATTCACAACTGTGTAGGACCCTGGCTGTGTCATGGTCTCATAATCTGTAAGAGGAACATCAGTATGGGATCTCTGTATTCCCTGAGGCACACAGTAGGTGAGGCTGGGCCTGGGACAGTGAGGGGATGTGGGAAGCTGTAGGCCAGGGCAGGAGGAGACTCACCCATGTAGCCCACGGTGCCTACACGGCCTTTGATGGTCTGGCCCTCGGGCACATGCACAGCCAGGCCCAGGTCAGAGATGCGGATGTGGCCTGAATGTGGATGGAGAAGCAGGTGGGCCCGTTACCAGGCCAGGCCTCCCATCTCACCCTACTCCACCCTGTGTCTCTCCACCCACCGTGGTCATCCAGCAGGATGTTCTCTGGCTTCAGGTCCCTGTGGGAAGACAAAGGACAGGTCAGATGCTGCTCAGGTTGCCAGGGAGCCAGACAGGGACAGCCACTCCTAGCTGACTTGCCTCCTGGGATTGGATGTGGAGCAAGGTGCAGGACCCATCTGCTGCCAGGGCAACAGGCACTCCTGCCCTCCCGGGACAGCAGCCCCAACTCAAGGGAGCAGATGAAATATCTACAGAGCCAGGACTCTCCAGGTGAGTGGAAGGCAAAGTGGGGACTCCTGGAATGTCACCAGTAGCCTTGTTCACCCCTGTTGTGGAGGAAGGTCCTGCCCCTTGGGTGACTGACTACCTTTCCTCTGTCAAATGAGGCTCCTGTTTAATCCCCTCATGGGGCTGTGGTGAGGCTCAAATGAAATCACTGTTAATAATCATAAGCAGAGCTCTCCATTCCTGAGCCCTGAGTGCCAGGAACACCCAAACTACTTCTCTCAGCTCCTGCAACAATCTGAAGGTAGGAATTACAGTCTCTGCTTCCCAGAAAAGGAAATAGTCTTGGCAGCAGGGAGCTGACTGGTCCAACCTCACACAAAGAGGAGGGACAAAGTCGGATTCACACGTGGGTCAGCTAGACCCCAAAACCTAGGTCTGAACCACTCATGTCTGCCCAGTGTGGGGTATTGTGGAGCCCTCGACCAGTGCCAGCTTGTCACCTGGTCACAGCTCCAGCACACCAATATCCTTCTGCTGTCTGGCCTGATCGGCAACCTTGACTGCCTCCATTGAGGGCCAGCTGCAGCCCCTGGAAGGGAAGGGCCAAGCCCTGGTGGCAGTCGACAGAACCCTCCCCACCTGTACACAATGCGCTCCCGGTGCAGGTCCTCCAGGCCGCAGCAGATCTCAGCAGCGTAGAAGACGGCACGTGCTTCAGGGAAGCCAGCCTGCCCCATGTGGTAGATGTGGAACTTGAGGTCACCTCCATTCATCAGTGTCAGCACCAGGCACAGTGCATCCTTGGTCTCATAGGCGTAGGCCAGGCTCACCTGTGGCCGAGGGGACCCGATCCCTCAAGCAGGAGCTGCAGGAGCCGACTGGTGGTGGGGCTAACGCCAGCCGCCCAAAAATCCTTCTCGGTGCCACTCCTTGGGACCCACCCTTCTCCCCTGGCCTGAAGTCAACACTCCAAACCTGCCCTTCCTGGGCATAATGCAGAGCAGGGAGGTGGTGGTTGGAAGGGGCGGAACAGGGCAGAGGGTGGTCCCTTTGAGGGTGGGAAGAGACCTTAGGCTAGTGGGTGGGGAGGGTAGGGTGAGCTAGCACGGCCAAGGGGAAGGGACAGGTCTCCATTCTGTACTTACTACAAACCTACTGTTCACTTTCTCCAGGATCTGCTTCTCGTTGAGCGCCATGGCCTCCCCTTTCCGCTTCTTGATCCGCTTCTTCTCCAGCTTTTTGCAGGCGTACATCTTGCCTGTTGCCCGCACCTGGCAGGCACACACCTGTGGCCCACGTAAACAGGGGCAATTGGGGGCCAGCCACGCCCTTGCTGGGTTATAGTAGGGGCTGGTCCAGGGTCCACCCTACCCAGCCCCATACTCTGCCAGAGCACTGGCCTGGCCACTCACCTCCCCAAAGCCGCCTTTGCCTAGGACTCGGTACTGCCTGAAGGTGTTTTTGGTCACTGGCTGCCTGTGGACAAGGGGTAGGGGAGCAAACATTGGCTAAGCAGGAGTCCAAGGCCTATAAGGGGCCTCAGCAACCTAGCCTATCCTGGCCCAGCCTTCAAGGGGCTCACCTTTCTAGCCACTTCCACTGCAGGAAACGGTTGAAGTAGATGCTGTCGAGGTAGTCGGCAAAAGGGGCTACACTCAGGTACTCGTGGGTCAGTCTGTTGAGGGAGGTAAAGCCCAGCCCTCCGGTCAGCCCTGCGACACCCCAGGCTTTCAGCTTGATGGGCCAGGCCCCCATTATGTGCATGCTCAGCCTGCAAGGCATCACTCTCGGCCACGCCTCTGGCTAACCCACCAAGCGGAGACACACATCCCATGCTGAAGCTGAGCATGCTACCAAGAGTGGGGGCAACCTTCCAAGGTCACCCAGCAGGGGCAAGGCCAGGGTTAAAAGCTGAGCTCCCTCACCAACCACTGGGCTGGTCACAGCCTTCCAGGCCCACAGAAGCCCCCTCCTCTGGGCACAGCTCTGGGCTGGTGGGCAGGGAGAGCTTACCGGGTGAGCTCCTGGAAGAGGTCTTTGCAGGGCCCCTGCTCTAGCCGCTGGGCACAGTTAGTCACCAGCTGGCGGGGGACCTCAGGGATGAGGTCAGGACCCTGGGGACAGGCCACAGACAAGTCAGTGCAGTGGACTCCTTCAGATAGTTGCCCACTCCCAGGACAGAGATGCCAGATATCTCACGCTGGTGCCAGGGGCGTCTGCAGGCCGATGGTGCACCAGCCTGCCCGGTGGCTGAACTCCCTTCCTGACGCCCCCGCCCCCCAATCTCCAGGGCAGGGTGAAGCAGAGCTGCTGGCAGGCTGCCGGGCCCTGAGCCTGGCCCACCCACTAGGCTCCATGCCTGTGGTGCTGCATGGAGCAGCTCCAGGGCACTCTCTGCCCAAGCTGTGGTCACTCCTCTCACTGTCACTGAATTCTACCCATTGCCATCATCTCTCCATCACTGCTCACTCACCGTGTGGCTCAGAAAATTCTGCATTAGCCGCTGCCCACATGCCTTCCGCTTCTCATCAGGGGTCACTTCATACTCAGCCTACAGGGTGGGAGGCAGAGAAGCTTGGGGCCTGGGGGGAGCAACAGGTATGGGGAGACAGAGCACGTGGGGCCCAGGACCTCTGCCCGCATGCCCTTGGTGTCAGGTTGGGCTGCACTCACCACCCCATCCAGGAAGGCAATACAGCGGGTCAGCTCAGGCCTCGTTGCACAGAACTCGCGGAACAGCAGGCGCCCGATGGGCTGCCGTTCGCACAGGCTGTGGTAGTCACGCTCTGCAGGCAGAGATGGGAGCTGATGGGTTCACACACAGAGCCCACTGCAGGGCACCCTGGGCCCCAGCAACAGCTCCCAGCCCTGCAGTGTGGTAGCCATTACGTCCTTTATAACCTTCACCACAGCCCTGAGGTGAGTACGGCTATTAGTCCTCATAGCTTGGGACTGTTAGGCCCAGAGGTTCACTGACCAGCTCAATGCCATACAGCCAAGAGTCTGGCTCCAGAGCCCAGCTGTGTCCACCCCACCACCACCATCCCCATTGTCTCCTGGTTCACACAACTTGCATATGTCACAGTGCTGGGGTTGGGTGCAGTTTGTGAGGTTCCGGCCGGGCACAGCCCAACCCAAGCCAGGCCCACACCTGCTGCCTCCCTGGCGAAAGTGCGAGAGGAAGCTGTGGCTTCCGGCACACTCTCAGCTGGGCCTCCTTCCCTGGCAGTGGAAGCAGCTACAGTACACTCCTTGCCCACGTGCAGGCCATCAGATGGGGCGTTGGCCAGGATAAGCCAAAACGGGGTCCTGGGCCCTTCTGTCCCCACCCAGAAGTAACCCTGTCACACTGCCCAGGCTAAGGGCTTCTGGTCAAGGCTTTGCTGGGCATTCTCTAGGGCTGCACTTAGTGGGCTCAGCTCCCTCTGTCCTGGGCCCTGCTCACCCCAGGTCTACCTCTCCTTCCCTTGACTTCTCTCAGACTGTCCCCAATCTGCCCCTGCCCTACTCCCCATGCCCACTTCAACCAACCCCAGTCGGTCCCTGTTCATTCTTCATCCTCCACCCACCCAAGCCCAGGAACTGAAACCGGGCTGGGCGGTGCAGTCTCAATCTTCCTGCTCACGGGGCCCCCAGCCGTGCCCCTCCACCCCAGGGCAAGTCTCAGGGGAGGCCCCCTAGCACCAGCAGGTCTCCGGCCTCAGCACCCCAAGTCCTGCCTGGGCCTCACCAAGGCTGCGCCGCAGCTCCTCGCACAGGCTGATGTGGGGGAACTGCAGCATTTGCCGCCATTTCTTGCTTTTGCCTTTGCGATTGCCACCACCACCTGTGGAAGTAACCAGGCACTGGGTCTCAATTCCTACTGCCACCATGTGCCTCCCCTTGACCCTCAGAGCAGTCCACTTCGGGCCCTTCTTCTACATGCTTCAGCTGCCCTTGCTGGGTTCCAGAATACACATGGTCCACCTGGGCCCTCCTGCTGGGGGCTCCCAGGCTGGGAGAGCCAAGAGGAACAGTGAGGCCATGGGGAGGGGGTTAGCTTTTGTAAGGGGTCCAGCCTCAGCTACTTCCCATCAAGTAGGAGCTCCCCAGGAGAAGAAAGTAGAGAAAGGCATCACAGTGGTGGGAACTCCATAAGTCAGGGCACAGAGGGGAGAGATCCCAGAACATGTGGGCATACCTGAGAGAGGTCAGGGGCAGAGGGAAGCCTGGGCCACTGGGGAGGCTCCCAGGCCTCTATCACTGGGCCCTGCATCACAGCTCTCACAGGCTCGAGAAAGGTGGTGGCAGGAGGGGTAGCACTGAGGATCCCCCCTCCCCTGCAAACAAGGGCTTCCCAGGCCCTGATGCCTGCCTTGTTTTACCTAGCTGACCCCCCCATCTGTAGCTGCTGAAACCACAGTAGCTGCTCAAATGCCTATGGAGCCCAACAGGTATGGTAAATGTGGGCTAGATGTGAGGCAACAGGAAATGGTGGGGAGTGTGGTGAAGTGGACCAGGGAATGCCCCTTCTAACAGTGGCAGCCGCAGCACAACTTTGGCTGACGGCTTGCTTGCTGCTAGGCAGGAATGCTTGCTCAGTACGGCCAGCTCTTCTGATTTTTTCAAAAGCAGCTGGAAATCTGGGCTGTTACATGAAATATTGGTTCCTATATTACTTAAGAATAAAACATAAAAAAACCTCACAGCAGCCAAATAAAACTTGTCAGAGAACTAGCTAGCTGTGGCCTGTGGGACACCAGGCTGAGAATGGTAGAAGGGGCCTGAGACTTGGAGTCCCGCAGACCTGGATGGGAATCTCCAATTCATGCGTGAGGTCCATCATTTGCCCTCTGTGAGCCTCAATTTCTCCATGTGTCCTTCAGGTCAAAAGCCACCTCCAGAGGTACAGTGAGGGTGAATAGGAGAGTCTGTGCCCAGCACCCAGTAGGGCTGTGGCAAGAGCTCCAACCTTAGGCAACCACTTTCCCTTGCCTGGCCTCAGTCTCCCCTCTAGTTTTCCTGGCCCTGTTTCCATCTGGCCTGGGTGAAGGCAGGTGGTGCAGGGGGAGGAGCTGTCTTCTAGGGAGGGGGCAGGGCTGGGTCCCTTGATGGGTTCCCAGACCTAAGCTGCCTGGAAGAGGAAGTGTTGCTGGGGCCCATTGAGAAACCTGCCAGCAGCCCTCCTGCAGTCTGTACCCGGCATACCCCACAATCATTGCTTCACTGTGAGTGAGCAACAGACCCCCACCCCCAACCCAGGGCAAGGCCTCCCTAGAAGGGGAACTCCTCCCCCACCCCCACAGGTCCCTCACCCAACCCTCCATCTGCCTGCCTCCCCCCACCAGTTACTTCCTTCTCCCCCTCCTCCCAGCCACATCAAGGCTGCAGCAAAGAGTCACATGCAAATATCCTGTCCTGGAACTGCCACCAAGTCAGTGGGGTTCCTCCCTACCCTACCCTGGCCCCCTCCCTCTGCCTATGGGCACTGGGAAAGAAAGGAGGACTGAGCAAGGGCTCACATCCCCAGTGTGTCCTGCTTCATCCTCACAGCAGCTCTGCCAGATTGGTCCCAATTTCATGAGAAAATGGAAGCCCGGAAGTGACGAACAGATTTGCCAAGGTCACAAAGCCTGGAGATGACAATGGCCAGACTGGAACTCAGCTCCCCGTGACCACAGTCCGAGCTCCTTTCCACTCCAAACATGTCTATCATCTATTATGCACCAACTGTATACACACACCTAGGGTTCCCAAACCACTTACAGCTTCCAATCACTTGGGAAGCTGGCAAGGCCCTGGCCCCAAGCTGTTAGCCAGCTCATGAAATGACTCTGATGCCACCAGTCCATGGGCTCAGGTTCAGCACTCAGTGACAGTTGGGATTTTCTTTACTCTTCATGTCCCATCCCCAGCGACTACACAAAAAGGGATCCTGGGGCCGGCCCGGTGGCGCACTGGACAGTGCGCTGCTTGGGAGTGTGGCGGCGCTCCCGCTGAGGGTTCGGATCCCATGTGGAGACCGGTTCCCGCTCACTGGCTGAGCACAGTGCGGACGCAACACCGAGGGTTGCAATCCCATTGCCGGTACCCGGTGCGGGTGCGACACCGAGGGTTGCGATCCCGTTACCGGTCAGTAAAAAAAGACAAAAAGGAAAAAAAAAAAAAGGGATCCTGAAGTTCAGAGAGAAGAGATTTGTCGAAAGCCATGTAGGCGGGAGGGGCAGAGCCAGGCTGGGATAAGGGTTCTCTAGTGGAGGCACCAGTCCCCAGTCAGGCCATACCCCCTGCACCTCACCCATGGCCTGACAAAGCTTGTCAGAAGGTGCCCATGTTGTCTGGCCAGGCAAGGCAGTGCTCTCAGCAGGCCTGAGGCCTGAACTGGCTATAGCCCTCAGAAGTGAGGCCTGGCCAGGCTCTCTCCTCCCCTCCTCCCTGGCTGGCTGGATGACGAGGCAGAACAGAATCGGCAGATGCCCTCAGAGGCTGGGAGGAAGGCCTAGCCCCTGGGCTTGATAAGGGACAGGAGATAAGACAGACTCCCTGGCACTAAGGTCCCAGGCTGCCAGGCCCATTTCCAGGCAGTACCTCCCTGGGGTGATGCACATTGGGTTGGCAGGGGGCACAAGGTGCTGTGCCTAGCACAAGGTGCTGGGGAATCTTTTGGGCTTCCTACAGACTGTGCTGGGCATCTTGTGCCCTAGGCCTGGGTCAACCACAATCTGCGTTGTGATCTGGGGCTAGTCCTTGGTCTGAGCCTCAGTCTCCCACCTGTAAAATGGGGTAGGAAGGTGAAGCAGATGATGACTCTTTTAGCCTGGAAGCCCAATAAAGAGTGCAAAAACGTCACGATCTCCCTACCCTACAGTTCCAAAAAGGGTCTTGTTCACTGCTGGTTCCCCAGCACCCTGGACAGGGTGGGGCACAGAGTAGATGTCCGTTTACTGAGGTGGGCTGTGGCAGGTGAGGAGCAGACCGACCACAAGGCAGTGAGGAGCAAGTCTGCTTCCCCTGGGACGCTCACAGAGCAGGTGCATGATAACATCTGGCATTGGAGCCATGAAGAGCTCCACAAACACTGGGTCCTCCAGACTGGCTCCTCATCCAGGCCTTTGCACTTAAACAGTCTTGATGGCCCAGCATGCTCAGCTCCCACTTATTTCTGTGCCCGTTTGGCCTACTAGACCGTGGATACCGAGAGATTTTTTTCCTGAAGGCAAAAAATCGTGGCCCATTCCCCTTTGTCCTCAGTGTCCTAAGGCACCAAGCAAGTGGCAGTCGAGTTGGTAGCATAAATGACCAGGAGTTTCCCCAAGTCGAGGAGGATGTGCTACACAGAGGCTCCCTTCATTCATTCTCCAACCTTTACCGAATACCAACTTTGTGCCAGTCCAGGCTGGGTGCTGGAGTCTGGGCCCGGGGCACGTGGGGCATCTTCTCACCTTTCACCTGGAAGAGGCCTCAGAGAAGCTCTCCTGGGGCTCAGGTACCACCCTTGCCTCTTACTTCCCTTCTCCTTCCCTCATTCCTTCAAACTGCCACCCTCACCCCACTCCCGTCGCGAGGGCGGCGCTAGACCCCAGCCCCTTCCTGGGCCCTGGCTCCCAGGGGCAGGTGCGGAGAAGGAAGACTAGGGGCCGGAAGGGCTAGTGTCGGCGCAGGGCGTAGAGTCCGCGGCGCTAAGGGATCGGGCGGCTGGGGAGCCCCGCCGGGCTCAGAGGCCGCGCAACCGCGCTCCCTGCAACCGGGCCCGGCCGTCCGCCCGGCTGCCTCACCTTCCCGAGCCTTGAGTAGCACTGTGTTCGCTACGATGTTCTCGAGCTCCATGGGCTGCGGCGCCGCCGGGCCCGCCGGGCCGCGCCGCCGGCCGGAATCGCGCGCGAGAGCCGGG